CAGGGCAGGTCAGAGGAGCCATTAAATGAGTTAGGAAAATTACAGAATTATTTTCACCCCAAGGCATCTTTTTAATCCTCCAAAACATCCTCTGGTGGAAAAGTGGTTCTTCCTAGTGACTAGCTGATGTTGTTTTGACATCAGACGGTCAAGTTCCTGGCCCAACATTTTTATCTCTAATTTGTTCTAGGTTTAGGCCTAGAATTCAGATGCCATGATTCCTATTCCGAACAACACTCCCCTACAGTGAAGGACAGAGCAGAAAGTTGGGGTCACATAGACCTGGGCTCTCCACCCCTCCTAAACGGCCTGGAAGCACCGAGTCCAAGTCCCCATCCCCAGCTCTCATGTCTTAAAAAGCACAGACGCTCAAAACAGTGATGTAGCTGGCTTCTGTGGATAGCCCTTCCGAGTGCCCATTCCCACTGTCCAACCTTGCTGGCCTGTGAGGTTTTCAACTGTACAAATGTCCGAGTGCCAAATCCTGCCATTATAATCTGGGTAGGCCTCTCAGAGCACATACAATTCCCTCCTCTTTCACTTTTCTCTCTTTCCCTGGCCCCTGAGAGTGGAAAGAATTTGAGAAAAGCATTGCCCCGTTCATCCATCAGAAACCTAGGGCTCATGTTGTATTTTCATAACTGCCCAGAATATGAGCTTGCCTCTGTCAAAAAAAACCATCCTTACTGCTGCTCAGTCATCTGGTTTACCAGATGCAGGTGTGTGGGCCCTCCTTACCTTTCAGAGACAACACCTCAGGAAGCACATGATAGTGAAAAATCCCACATACAGCACATCCTCATTCATTTTCTCACTTAATAAACACTGTCTTCTGTGAAAAAATTTGTGTGCTAGGGCCAATAAAGTTATTACAGTGAAATGTGTTTTTATATTGTAGAGGTAATATAATATGACCGCAAATCTTAATTATGGACCAAAAAGGGGAAAAAAAGAAACTTGAATACCTGAATAAACTAAAATAATCTCTTCTGTTTCTTTTTAATGTCTGCATTTTATTTTTTTCTTGTGCATGCTTTTAACCAATTTTTTAACTGCAATACATAGATGATGCTGACTTTTAAACATTTCTTTGAAAAGCATTTTCCATGTGTGCTGTGATGTATTTTCAATGACTGTAAGATTGTTGTTAAGAGTGTATATTCTGCAGGCAGACTTTTATGGACTGAATGATTTTGCCTACCCAAAATTCCTATGTTGAAGCCCTAACCCCCAATGGGATGGAATTTGAAATTGGGGCCTTTGAGAAATGATGAGATTTGGGTGAGATCCAGACCGTAGGGCTCCCACGATGGGTTCAGCATTTCTATAAAGAGAAAAAGACCAGATCTATTCCTCTCTTTTTGCCCTTTGAAAACATAGTGAGAAAAGAACAGTCCACACGCCAGGAATCAGCCTCTCTCCAGGAACTGAACTGTCTGGCACTTTGATCTTAAACTTCCTGGCCTCCGGAAGTTTGGGAAATCAATGTCTGTTGTGAAGCCACCTGGGCTATGGTATTTTGTTAGGGTAGCCTGAGCTGACTAAGACACAGACTGAGAACCTACTGACAGGGTAACTTGGTCCAGTCGCATAACTTTTCTGATGGCCTCTACTGGAGAATGAAGATAGTGATGGCAGCTATCTCACAGAGTTGTAATGAAAATGAATAAAATGTCCGTATAGCTCTCAGCACTGTGCCATCCATTCAACAGGCATCCAGTAGATGGGAGAGTTTTCTATTCCTCACAATAATCTCACTTTGTATAGTTCACGTTTACTGGGTGCTTGATGGGTGCTAGGCACCAAGGGTATGACGCCTACTAACTCATTTAATCTTTACCACAACCTATGTGGTGATAACTGTTATCATCCCCATCTTACAAATGCGGGAAGTGAGCCTCAGAGAGACCAGCCTGCTCAAGGTCACAACTCTATGGCCTGCATAAATGGCTGAATGCCGATGTTCAAACCATGTCTCTCTGGTTCCAAAGTGCATTCTGTTGTATTCAACACTTCGGAGAGAGGGCACTGGCTCAGATGCACCGCAGTTCCAGCATGTTGCTTCCACAAGTCTGCATAATATCTGCCTTTGGGTGGACTGAACAACGGTATTAGAATTAACTGTATTAGAATAAACTGTATTAGCAGGTGTTCTCCAAAGAATCAGGATGTGGTGTGTGTGTGTGTGTGTGTGTGTGTGTGTAGAAAGAGACAGAGACAGAGAGAGACAGAGAGATTTATTTTAAGAATTGGCTCACATGATTATGGAGACTGACAAGTCCAAAGTCTATAGGCAGGCAGAGATCCAGGAAAAGCCATTGTTATAGCTTAAGTCTGAAGGTCATTTACTGGCAGAATATCTTCTTATTCTGTGTATGTGTGTGTGTGTGAGGGGGGGCGAGCAGGGGAGGTCAGCCTTTATTTTTTCCTATTCAGACCTTCAACTGATTGGATGAGGCCCACCGACATCATAGAGGATAATCTGCTTATTCAAAGTCGGCTGATTTAAAGCATAATTGTATTCAAAGGCACCCTCAGGAAAACATCCACAGTGATGTCTGACCACACATCTGGATCCCATGGCCCAGCCAAGGTCACATATAAAATTAAACATCAAACTCACCATCAAGATAGAAGCTAGTAACAAATTTGGATCATAAATTATAAATAGAAAAAAGGTCATTTTAGAGAAAAAACAGAAATGATTGTAAACAGATGGTGAATGTATGCCCTAGTTACTTTTTTTGACACTGCATTAAACACTGGAAAAAAAGTAAAATAATGAGCTCAACAAAAAAGAATAACAGCAAAGAAAAGCATTCTTTGGTACAAATATAAAACCTTATCGGACACGGTGGCTTTTGTTAACAAAACGCTAGTGGCAGGTGTATATGAGTAGCTGCAGGGAGTCTACTCTACCCTATAGCTGTGAAATCAGAGCGGCCAGGATACTGCAGGGCAGTGTCTCGACCCAGCAGGCTCAGAACAGGGGTAGAGGGGAGGGCGAGGCCTCCATTCAGTTGACACCGTGGGGAGATCCAGCCATGCACAATGCAGGCTCCAGGGTTTGCAGCCAGGGCAAGGAGTCACTATTGAGAAGTCCAGGAATTGAACTTTGCAGCATAACAAGAGTCACAGGTTTCCTTATGGTTTCTATGAAAATCCAATACTGGTCACCAACCCCCCAGAATGAATCCTTGGGTTCAAATATTCATGCATAAAATTGGTGGTCATTTACTTTGGCAGATTGACTGGAAATTGCTCAATCAACACCATGAACAGCAGAATCCAGGTGGTAGCAAAGGGGGTCACTAGGAACCTATTAGCTGTAGGGGTTCAAATTACTTTGGATAACAGGAGACAGGACTACTCCTAAGAGCACTTTAAAAATAAAACAATTTAAAAAGATCTCCTACAATCTGATGCATGTTGGGATATATGTAGTATCAAGTAATCCCAGGTGTAACTATACTTTGTAGTGTTGCTATTTGCAGCCAAATTGCCAGTAAAATTGAAGTGTGGTGTTGGATACATTTATTGCTAGAAAAAAATCTGGCTCATCTCTCTGAGATGGGAAACACAGCAGAGAGTTGAAGTGATTTAGTGCAGCTTCTGAAGGGTAGGGCTGTACCTAGGTAAAGGGTATTCTTAGGACCCCCAAGTAAGCTCTGGGAACATGCTCTCCTGAAGCTCTGGGGACATTCCACTCAGGACTTACCTAGACAATCAGTTCTCTTTAGGTGTCCTGAAAAGGATTGAAACATTCATTCCACTGAAACCTTCAGAATTTTTTTTTGGCTTCTAAATTTTAGCTTCTATAGTTTCTCCTTCAACTAGTTAGGAAAGAAGACTGATAGGAAGCACTCCATATATTCTAACATTATGTGACATAGAAGTTATCATTCCCACCATTTCAAATGGGTTACCTAAAGCGCCTTAGGTTATATTGTAAGTAAGTGGAAGAGGTGGAATTCATTCCTCAGTGGGTGGATGGATGGACAGATAGAGAAATAAATGGGTAGGTGGATAGATGGATGGGTAAATAAATGAATGGATGGGTGAATAGGCTGATGAGTTTTCAGCTATTTACTTTAATTTGGGTGTCCATTTTTTAAATATGAGGGATACCTTCTTTGACTCTACCTGAAAAGCCGGGTGGGGAATGCTAAATATGTATTCAAATCAAATCTTGGAAGCCATATAATCTTTAGAAATGTATTGACTGTCAAATTTTATAGCTAAACTGGCCGGCTATATAAAGAAGAGAGTGCAATAATAAAGACATTGGAATGAAACTATTTATTTCTTGAGTTGCAAGTGACCATATAACTCACAAGTAGTGCTGAAGTCTGTGTGTTCCAGGAGATTCATGTGGTATTGTATCATGGAGAATGGCCCATAATTCATTTGCTGGGCTTCCTTTGGTATGCCCAACCTGAACACTTCATCGCATAATTTCTCTTCTCTTTGCAGAAATGGAAATGCAACTGTGATTTTCTGGCAGCAGATCTGTCTCGGAATAACAGTGTTTTAAGAAGTGTTTGGATACTTGTCTCTATTTGACAAATGCCAAAAATGATAAGCAGGCAATGGGGACATGTACACTGATGTCCCTCCACCACCCCACCATATGTCTAGATCTCCCAGAGTCCAATGGTCACTTGTTACACATCGGACCCCCCAAACTGCACCCAAAGGTATGTTATTTTTAACATACATTTATACTTTTCAAAACATAGAAGTAAGTAGACCTGGCTATTGTGGTTCAGTGGATTGAGTGCCGGCCTGCCAACCAAAGGGTTCCTGGTTTGATTCCCAGTCAGGGTACCTGTCTGGGTTGTAGGCCAGGCTCCCAGTAGGGGGCGCACAAGAGGCAACCACACATTGATGTTTCTCTCCCTCTCTTTATCCCTCCCTTCCCCTCCTTGTAAAACTAAGTAAATAAAATCTTTAAAAAAAACATAGAAATAAATGATCACATAGGAAGACTAGTAGCATAGAGTAACCAAAACAAAAAATAAAATTATTTCAAAGCCCACTATTAATAAGAAGTATTTTTAATACATTGATAAATGTATTGTTATACAATATGTGCATTTATATAGTAAGGGCTGCACAAACTGTCCCAGCCCGGTATCTAGGAGTTTGCTCAGTTCAAGGCCCTCCCTACCTGGCCCAAATACTCAGACAGGACCCTGGGACCTTGCTCACCACCTCCAGGCAACTCGGGCTGAGCTGACAGCTGTTCTGCTGCCATGAGGCAAGGACTCCACACCGGTCAGTGACACCTGGGCTGACGCCCTGACAGGGCCCATAGTCACTCCTGCTCGGCCATGCCCTATGACAACTTCGGGAAGATGACAATAATGTCCTTCCTATATTTTAATGACACTCCATCTTATATGCATGTCATAATTTATTTTAATAATACCATTTTTGATTCATTTGTCTTTTTAAAAGACGTATGCATTTTACATTAGAAAATTATCTGTAAAGTGAATGAGGTGTCTCAAATTTATGTAATCCTGGTGTCAGCTACAGTGACCTCCTCTTGTACGATCTCAACAGGACAATTGGCTTCAAACACACCATTTCATGACGTGTAGGTAGTCCAAGACTCTTCCTCCTCGCCAATGTCTGCAAATTCTTAGGATGCTGAAGTTCTCAAGTTCACATACTCTTCCAGAAACCTTCCACTTGTGTATCTTTTCACCATCTTCTATGTGCTCACCTTGTTCTATATTTAAATTTCCTAGGTAGAAAATGCAGGTCTACATTTTAGTATTTCGAAAGCAACTCAAAGGACTTTTATAAGGCCTTCCCTACTGGAAATTTGGCAACAGAGAGGGATTCATCAGCCAGCATCACAGTGGGCATTGAGTGCTAGGGCCGCCTTCTTCTCGACAGCCCAGTGGAGATATCTGACTCTCCATCACCTATTTTGCTTCATATGATTTTCTTAAGATCCATCCGTATATCACAAATGGCAGTATTTCATCTTTTCCTGTGGCTGAGTAGTGTTCCATTGTATATATCTCGCAGGCACAGATAAGAGTATGGTGTTACCAAAGGGGGGGTGAAGTGTTAGTGAAGAGTAAAAGGGGTCGAATATACAGTGAAAGAAGGAGATTTCACTCTGCCTGGTGGGCACACTCGGCAGCATACAGATGATATATCACAGAATTATACACTTGAGACCTATATAATCTTATTAACCATATAAATTACCCCCAATAAATTTAATTGAAAACATTAAAATAAATTTTTAAAAGAGCTTAATTCTTTCTCTCATTAATGTGCTCTGGGATGTGATGGACCATCTTGCCCTGGGCTCGCCCTTCGGAAGCATGTAGATCTGGCAGAGACTCCACATTTCCTTTCCTTTCCTTCTGCCTCACCTACCTCTCCACCCCATCTCTGTCAAGGGAGGGGGTAGTAACATCTGTGTTGTCACTATTGTGCCTCCTCTCTGAAGGACAGAAGCAGCTACCGCCAGTTTGGCTTTGAAATACCATCTCCTTCCCCTTGCCTGCATGTAAAGCATCTTATGCTTGGTAAGCTCTTATCGAGTATTGGAGGTGAGGGGCAAGACAGGCAGGATGATGTCAGGTCAGAAGGAACATGAATACAATTGAAGAATAAAGTACAGCAACTGATGTAACAAAAGGTGGATTCCCAGGCAGGGTGACTGTATTCCTAAACACTCCTGATACCTAAGAACTAAACACTCTTATACTGGGAGTATGGAAAGTCTAGAAACCTCTCCTCTCTAAGCTTGGATAACTGCCTTCTTGTCCTTCACCCTGACACATGCCCGCCCCCTCAGTCCCCTTCCTTCCACACTCCCAGGCACCTGTGAGTTGGGAGAACATCTCTCTTTCTGAGGAAGAAGTGCAGATGCAGGAAGGCAGTGATTTCAGGGCTTATTTTAGAAACAGAGAACGGCTTCGTGATGACAGGCCGGTTGGAGGGGGTTGCATCTCATTGGTTATGCTGGCAGATCACCCTCTGCTGATCTGTTTTGTCGTTTTGTTGTCTGTGGAGGAGAAAACAAAATGTTGGTGAGCAGCTGGTGGCAGAATTGTGTTTTATGTACAAATGTGGGAGGAAATCCTGGCCCAGTTCTGAAACTGCCTGATTGGATCTGGGCGGGAGAATGAGTTATACATTTATCTGAATTAAATGTGTTTGCCTCCTCCTGATTTTATATGCCCATCTACAACATGAATTTCTTGGCTCAGTTAGACAACTGCATAATATATCATATTACTTTGCTTTAGTTGCTTGAGTTGTATACTTCTTTTTTATTTTATTTTTAAATTATAGTTTGTACTTAATATAAACTATTAGTTTCTTGTGCACAGTATAGCAGTTAGACAATCGTTTACACTACAAAGCATTTCCTGTGATATTTCAGATACCTGCCTGGCACCTTGCATTGTTATTACAATATCACTGACGATATTTTCTGTTCTTTTTCACACCCCCATAACTATATTGTAGCTACCAATTTGTATTTCTAATCCTTGAAGTGTTGTATGTATTTGTTCCCCATATTGTTTATGACAATTGTACTTCATGCGAATTTCATATGTTCAATCACATGCTATTTAGTCAAATGTTATCTACACTAGTGTATGTAATTGTAAAAAAGTCGTTTCTTTGAAAAGTCATCTGAAACTCATTAAAGATGATGAACTAAAAACATTTTCACTAAATATTGAGAGAGTGTTGTGGGTGGAAGTGAGCCTCTTCCGCAGGATCACGAGAGAAGCGTTTCACAGGCCCACGCATGGGAGGCTGCAGTGTGGTAGGATTTATTGGGGTGGAAATAGAAGGATGCCCCTGGGTTATCAGTTTCTCATTTCTCTCTGTTCCACCATGGAAAAAAGTCCAATTTTGTCTTTATTAAGGCCAAAACAAAGGCCGGAGTCCAGAGTTTCTGGTTCGTATTAAAGCTTAGTCCTTTGAAAACCATGAAGCCTGCCACAGGCCCATACTGCTAGTAGACCTGCGTGGTTGCATGTGTTCCTGGGCGAGGGAGAGAGAGGGTTAGTTCCCTCAGATTATCTTGGGCTTGGGAATGCCCAGGTGCTTTTCCAAAATAACCAGCCAACTTCCCAAGGTCTCACGGGCATCTGATGGGTCTGCCTCCTGACCAATGAATCCATTTCGTTGCTATTTTGACACCACTGTTTGCACCATTTTAACTTTCACTGTGCGTATGTGCACTTCCCTCTTTATTCTTCTGTCTCTTCCCTCAGTGATCTGCAGGGAATGGACTTGTGGTTCTCTGGGGAGTGTGTATAAATAACTTTTTGGTGAAGCAAGCAGGCTCATGCTCCCCAGGTGATTATGCTTAATAAGGCCCGATTCCCTTGCTTTCTTCCCTTATTAATATCTAACAACCTACACTAACAGTTCCTCTTTGGTTTCAAAGGGAAAGGCCTCTTTGGTTTTGAGGGTCAGAATGCTACTGCCCAGTGCCTAAGGGAAAAAGCCACTCATTGTCATAGGGGCTTGGCCAACCCTTCATGACATCGGTGAGGGCATCCCCAGAAACCATAGAGGTGATGCTGCCAACTCAATGGTCTTGGAGGGCTAAACATCAAAGCAAAGAGAATTATTTTGAGTCCTTAAGAACTACTAGAATTTGCCAATAGGTTTTGAATTTGCCTAGGACACTTTATTCCTTTCTTTCTTTTAGTTTCTGCCTTTTAGAATGTTTTATCTCAGGCCTAGTATTGTATTTTGAAAACACATAACTTGTCTGGTTTCACAGGGTCATAACTGAAGGGAAATTTGCTTCAGGTAGAATCTTACTTTGAGTCTCACTCATACCTGATTTAGTGATATTTAGATGGGACTTTGCATTTCAGAATTTAGAACTGATAAGGAAATGAATTAAGACTTTGGGGGCTACTGGGATGAAATAGATGTATCTGGCATGTAAAAAGGACATGAACTTGGGAAGGTTCCCATGGATAAAATGTAATTAACTAAATGTCCCCCTGAAATTCTTACGTTGAAGTTCTAACTCTCTGTGTGGCTATATTTGGAGAAAGGGCATCTATGGAAGGCATGATGGTTAAATGCATTCATAAGGGTAGAGCTCTGATTCAATATGATCAGTGTCTCTAGAAGAAGATACACTAGTGACTTGCCTCTCTCCAAAATGTGCCCCCCAAAAGCCCATGTAAGCAAACAGATAGAAGCTGGTTGTCTACAAGCCAGAAAGATCGTCCTCACCAGGAATCTAATCAGCCATCATATTGATCTTGAAATTCTCAGCCTCCAGAACTATGGGAAATAGATATCTGTTGTTTAAGTCCCCAATACGTGCTGTTCTGTTATTTCGGTCTGAGCTGACCAGTAGACCCTGGCTGCAGTGTGGAAGAGGTCCTGGCCAGGAGAGAGGAGAAGGAAATCCTTTTGGAAGCTGCTGTAACAGTGCAGGAAAAAACCATTGACTACCAGAACCAGGGCCAGGGCAGCTGGAGAAGAAAATAAAGCAAGAGACAATCTTTAATAGTGTTCACCAAGGACAATTATAGACAGAAACCAGCACGTTAATGAAAGAAAAAGCAAGAAATGTTCACTTTCACTTTAGCACACCCCACTTGCCACACATTCTTCCTTTTGAGTAGAATATGAGCAAGAAAGGGTGAAGCTATTTTTGTTATTCTTCTGTATCATTCCTTCCTCAGTTTACTTTTTTTCAGATATGGATACCCTAATTGCATTTTCTGGCACACCAGCCTATTCGAAACACCATCATCAGGCATGTGAGGGTGTTTGGGAATATTCGGTGCTCCCATCTGAGTGGTTTTGAGACCTTCCTCAACTCTCTGTCACTTTGCAGGCATTTTAAATTAGGGAAATGAAGAAAAGGATGTGGGGGAAGAGAATGATTAGCCCAGATTTCCTAGGAAAGGCCTAAGGTGAAGCAAGCACGCTGATATTTCCTTTAGGAGGTGTAACCGCAGGGCAGGCAGAGAGAAGCAGGGAAGGATGGGAAACAAATACCAGCTGGCCCCACTCCAAGAAGCAACACAGCCAGCACTCAGCACAAGGAACGCTACACCTCCAGGCAGCATGCAGAAGGTCTGTGCCTCAGACACGCACAGAAGCCATGAGCCAAACAAGAATCCATCCTCCAGTCCCCTTCTGTTTCCTGTCCCACACTGGTAAAGTCTGCCTCTCAGAGAATTTAGCCCCGACTCCCATTAGCACCCTGGCTTGCATCACCTGACACATTTGACAGCTCTTGGAAAGCCAGCTTCCCTGATCTGCCCTGAGACATATGCTGTACTTGAGGCCAGATGCCACACGAGGAGCGAGCCGAGAACCTCTGGCCGTGGCCCTCTGGCCGTGGCCTCTGGTGGGGAACTGTAGAGCTTTCTGAGAGTTGGTCAAGGCGTACCTGATAGTAGAGAAAATACTGAGGCTCTCCTGTGAAGTATGGTCCCAGTAACGTGTGGTAGCACCTAAGGAGTGACCAATAGCATTTGGGGAATATTTTACAGTTCATAATATCTCTCACATGGATCCATGCCTTTGATTTTTAGAACTCTAGAGGGGCAGTTCCTGAATTCCTGGAGGTTTGTTTGCAGCATCCCTGGTTGTTTGCTTGTCTTAGAAAGTCAATGTAAAAGAAAGACAGACTACCAAGTTTAATGAAGGAGGATTGAACCCCCCATACTATGACTCAAAATCAGGGGTGCACCTCTATCTCAAGAGGCTCTCAGAGGTGGAAGGAGAGAACGTGGTATGGAAAAGTGAATCCAGCTATATCTGTAAGATATCATTTCTTTAAAAATGTCTGAAGCAAATACAGCACATTAATATGTGCCAGTCAAATACCAAGCCCAAAAGGGCTTGACAAATAGAGTTATTTGTCTATTTGGTTCCTGGCCACATCCCCAGTCCCCAGCTTTATCAATAATGCTGACTTCATTAGAATATGAAATCTAGATGTTGCTGGTTAGGGATCTACTGTATTTTCCTTTCTGTATGTTAACATTGTATTTTGTTGTTTTAGAATGAAATTGATTATTAAAAGTGATGGTCAACATGGAGGCTTGGCAAAATGGAGGGCTATTAGATCAAATCTGACAGATTTATCAAGTACTTCTCAACAAAGATAGACACTTTACTTTTGCTATTTCTATTTACAGATAAACAAATGATTCCACAAAATTGAAATACTTGCAAAGGTCAGAAAGTAAAGATTATGTGTCTGGGACTCAAACTCAGCACCTGTAGAAGCATCTTCTGAGAAGAACTTGAACTTTGAAGTCAAACAGACATAAAGTTAAATCCTAACATCACATACTTTTATGTGTGGGGGGATGGAAGTTATTTATGGATATCAAAAGGTTTAATAATATTCATTCCATTAAAAAAGCTGAGTGTCTATGCCAGATCTCATTATTTATTAACATATGCCAAATGCTATATTAAACATCATCTTTTTAAATCCTCTGATAGATTCTCAAGATTGACAGATTAAAAAATGGTACATCAGAGATGTTCTGTGACTTGACAAGTTCATGCAGTTAGTACATTACGAGGAATTGCAGGTGTGGTGGTCTGTGGGACTTCAAAGATCTCTGCTGCTCACACCGAACATGGAGAAGATGTGGTGTCTTAGCTATCCCCAGGTCTGCCTTAGTTCAAGCCTTTTGTTCATTCTCTCTAACTCTCTCTTTCTCCTCCCCTCTTCCTCCTCCTCTTCCTTTTTCTTCTCCTCTTCTTCCTCTCCCTCTTCCTTCCTCCTTCTCTTCTCTCTTCTCTCTCCTTCTCTCTCCACTCCCTTCCCCTTCCCCCACACTCTCTGGGGCTCTCTCTTTTCCTCTAGGACCTGGACCATCAATCTGACATCTTTATCCAGTTCTTGGCTATATGAACAAAGACATGAACTCAGCACATTTCCATCTTAGACTTCCTATGGGGACATGATCCTTAAATGTGCAGCAGTCCTCACGCTGTCATTGTATCCTAAAGGCCACACACACTGGTTTGTCCCTTGTTTGA